TGTGCTACCGTTCGTCGGTTGAGTGGTGCTCGGCTCGTTCCAGCATGTCCGACTGCGGCGGAGATGATCGGTTCCCGCTCCGGGGCGGGCGCTGGCAGCGGCGGCGCGAAGTGGGGCACATTTTTTCCCGGGGCCTTCGGGGCCCCAGAGTGCCAATGCCAGCGCGGCGGGCCACAGGGGCACAGCATATTTGCAGGGCGGACCGCAGCAGCAAGCGCGGCAGCGCGGCAGACCAGCGCGGCAGATCTGGACCTTGCGCGCGCGGCGAACACCTGTCGCCCCGCGCCCGGGCTCGGACCCCGCCCCCGCGCGCCCGCGAGGCTCGCCCTCCAGGTCGCGAGGCCGGACGTGCTGGCGCGAGGCCCAGGAGGGCGCGCGCGTGGAGGCCTTCCGCCGAAGCGGCCGAGCTGGCTGCCGGCAGCGGGGCCCCCCCGAGTGGTGCCGGCAGCCGGGCGAGCGGTCTCGCAGCCTGGAGATCGGCCTGCAGCAGTGGACGTCGGCGGCCGAGGGGGCGTCGACCGGGGCCCACTGCGTCGGCGAGCAGCAGTGGGGCCAGCGCTGCGGCCGAGGAGGCGGCCCCGTCGTCGTCCTCAGACCGACGAGCTCCCAGGCGAGGCGCCGCCGTCGCGTGCTCTGCGCCGCCGTCGCGCGCGAGTTGCGGCACGCGAGCGACTTGGCGCAGCGGCGCATCGAGGCGGAGGCGGCCGAGAGGCGCTTCCCGTCGCACGAGCGGTGGCGCAGCAGGGGGGCGCGCAGGCGCTGCCGGCGCCTGGCCCACGAGCTGGAGACTGTAGCAAGCGGCGGACACGGCTTCGACATCGGCGGCGGCTGGGAAGTGCTGATCCACGACGCGCGCGCGCGGCGCCTCAGAGGCCGTCGCGGCGCCGCGCGGGCGGCTGGCGGCGGCGCATCGCCGCGACGCCGGCAGGTTGCAGGCAGAGTGGAGATTGTGGGCGGAGGTAGCAGTCCAGAGGGGCGGTCGGCTCGCGCGCTGTTTCGCCAGGGCCGCCGCCCCTCTTGCCGCCCTCGACCCCGACTCAGGGCGGCCGCTTGCTGGCGCGGCCTCCGTTCTGCAGCTCAGGCAGGAGCGGCAGCGCCATGGCGTCAGGACGGCTGCCTTGGCGGCTGCGGCACAGGGGCGCGGGGCGTTGGAGGGGCCGCCCATCCCCCCCTGACGATGGAGGGCCTACAGGAGCGCTGCAGGCGCTACTCCCCTCAGCGCGGGGCTGGGTGCCGACCGGCTCCACCCGCGCCAGGCCCCCTTTCTTGCAGTCGGCGCTGCAGGATTGGCTACCGAACCTCATGCAGGAGTTCGAGGACGCCCCCCTGCAAGGCCTGAGCCGCGGCGACCACGGTCGTCTTTGTCCCGAGCCCCATCGGGCGGCGCCAGGTCCATCGCGCTGCTTCCGCTGATGTTGCGGCTGCGGAGTCGCCTTCGTCAGCCTGTGGGCAGCCTGTGGGGAGGGGCCCACGAGTTTCCCGTCTTCTGGGGGCGCGGAGACCGCGGGCGCGAGCGAGCGGGCTGGGCGCGCAACGCGGCCGCCTCGCACGCCCAGGGCCAAGGGGTGGCGGCGGTCTCCCTTTTCGTGGACATCTCCAAGTTGTACGAGAATACGCGGCACGACGTATTGTATTGTGGGAGGCGGCCGTGAAGCACAATTTCAACTTGAAGTTGTCGAGAGGACTCCTGGTCAGTTACCCAAGCCCACGCAGCGTGGCCATGGCTGGCCTATGCGCGGCAGCGATTACCACCAGCGGCGCCTACCGATGCCGGGCCATCTCCCCGCGGCGGGCCGCCCCCTCGTCTGCCCCAGGAGCGCGGTCGACGACGTGACCTTCCAGGCCATTGGCACGGCGCGCCTGGCGGCGCAGCAGCTCAGCGACGCGGGGGCCCAGCTGGTCTCCACCATGTTGATGGCGCAGCACCTGCCAGTCAACGCGCCCAGGGCCCACTTCTCGGCCAGCAGCCCCGCAGTGGCTCAGCGGAGACTCTGCGGGCCTTGCGTCGCGGGCGCAGGATGCGGAGCATGAAGGCGGCGGGGGTGCGAGCCGACGCTGTCTTCGAGGCTGGGCCGTCCTCCAGCTCCCTCTGGGGGGGGGGGGGGCCGTCGTCGGCGCCCCAGACGGCGACCTGCGTTGCATGCGCGTCGCGGCGTGCAGGAGCGCGAGGCGCCCGCCCAACGGCGCGCCCCTGGGGCTGCGGCAGCGCGCGGTTGCAGCTGCGCGGCAGGGATCTCGACCGGCGGCCGAGGTGCTGGCCGCGGGCGAGATCGCGTCGATGGCGGCGGCGGCCCTGCAGAGCGGCGCCGTCTCGCAGTCCGCGTTCGTAGCGGAGGCGAACCGAGTTGCCATCGGCCAGCGCGCGGCGACGGCCCCCTGGGCGCACTGCCGAGCGCCCGTCGACGCCCTCATCCTCGCGCTCAGCCGCATCGGCTTGGGCGAGCGCGGGACCGACCTAGTCGCAGACCTCGGGGACATCGTGGACCTCGCGGGGCCGACCTAGTCGCAGACTCCCTTGGCCCCAAGGACCTCATGGCCGAGGCGGAGAGGGGGGCTCGGCGTGCGTCGGACAGGCAGGAGCTGGCCCGCCTTGCCAAGGGTGGGCGACATCCTCACCAGCTGTTCTGCGGCGCCATCGGGAAGTTGATCGTGCCCCGCAGCTCCCTGAGCTCCAGGGAGAAGGCGGCGTTCGCGTCCGTCTTCGCGATTGCCCACTTGCCGCAGCAGCGCCTCATGGCGGCCAAGGAGCGACACCGCGGGAGCTGCCTCCTCTGCGACGCGGTCTTTGGCACGCTCTTCCACCGCTTGTTCGAGCGCCCTCCGCTGGAGGCCGTCGGGGGAGACTGCTGCCCTGGGCGTCTGCGGCGGCGCGCGCAGCGCGTCGGGCAGCGGGGGGGGGGGGGGCTGCAGCGGAGGATTTCGCTCGCTGCTGGTTGCCAGCGCCCATGCTTCGCCCCCCTGGTCTGGGCAGTGACGCGGTGGCCCACTGGTTCCGCAAGCCAGCCGGGCGGCTGTTCTTGGACGGGTCGGCGCTGGAGCCGACGCAAAGTAGCGACCCGACGCGCAGGTTGGGCCATTCTCCAGGACAGCGAGCACGGCATCTTGGAGGCCGCTTGCTGCGGCACCGCGAGGGCCGACTTTTGCCCGCAGCAGACAGCCGAGGCAGGTGCTGACCGAGGTTGCTGGGGCAAGACGCCACGTCCTGCGCGTGGACCTGCGCCTCCACGGTCTCCTGCCTGAGGCGCGGGCGCCAGTGCGCCACTGGCATGGGCCGACTTGGCGCGCCCCTGGAGCAGGTTCTTCGCGGTCTTCGGGCCTGGGGACTACGACGTCCACGAGGTGCCAGCCCACCTGGCGCGGTCACAGGTGCAGGAGGGCCGCGTCTCGGAGATGGGGTAGCGTGGCAGCGGGCCCGCGGACGTCGACGCCAAGCTCGGTGCGTCGCGCCATGCTGTCCCGCGGGACGTGCCCGTGCATTCCAAGGCCTTCGCGCTGGTCGTCGCGGAGCTGGCGCGCTGGATCGCGCAGGCGTCAATCTCGATGATGTAGCAGGGCAGCCTCCGCGACGCGCAGGGCATGCCTGAGGGGCAAGAGAGGGGCCGGCCCGTCGTGGCCTTCGAGGACGACCTCAGCAGACCCCCCGCCGAGGCGGCAGTCGCAGGGGCTGCGCCCGAGCGGGGGCGCTCCACGGCATCGGCGGCCCCGGCCCTCGGCCTCGGAGCATGGCCCCCCATCGTGCTGGGCCGCTGCTTTCGTGATGCGATGGCAGACGGCGCGGGCGATGGCAGACGGCGCGGGCGATGGCGGCGCTTACGCGATGCGATGGCAGACGGCGCGGGGCGCCCGGCCAGTCGCAGCCGCTACGGCGCCTACGCGGGCATCGACGGAGGCAGAGGGCCCAAGTGGCGCGCCGAGCGCACTGGGTGCTCTCCCAAAGGGGCCCAGGGGCAAGGGCGTACGCGACTAGCTCAGCCTCTGGGGTCGCGGGCAGCACCCTGGTCGGCGTCGAGAAAATAAGAAGGCCATCAGGCACCTGCGCCAGCTGGACATCACCGGCGTCGAGGCGGCGCCTGATGCGCCTGGAGGCGAGGGGGGGGTGCCCGAAAGCTCCCCACAGGCCGCCCTGAGGGGTGCTGGCCGCGAGAGGGGCGGGGGAGGGGCGGCCACCTCCTGCGCGTCGAGCTCGTGGCCGGCGGGCGGTCCGCTGGCAGATGCCGACCAGGCGCGGGGCAATCCAAGCGGCGCCGCCCACGGACGACCAGCAAGCGCTGCCGCGGCGTCCAGTGGTTCGGGAGCGGAGGCGATCAGCCGCCCTGAGGCTATGCAGGCCGTGGAGGGTTCTGCCCTGGTGGATCCTGGGGGGGGGGGGCTCTGGGGGGCCCTGGGGGGCCCCTGGGGGGTCCTGGGGGGCCGTGGGATGCCCTGGGGGGTCTTGGGGATCTTGGGGGGCCTGCGGGGCCTTTGGGGGCCCCTGGGTGGTCTTGCGTGGGGGGTCCGCCTGACCCGCTCGCAGGACCCGCCAGCGGGGTCGCGTCTGGTTTGGTTGGCTCGGTACGTCGGGCCGGTTTGGTCCAGCGGGTTCGGTTCGTCGAGCCGGTTCGGTCCCGTTCGGCCGGTTCGGTTCGAGGACCGGTTCTCATTCTTCGGTCGGGTTCGCGGCCATCATGACAAGACGTGGTATAAACGCAAAGAGTCAGAACTCCGCGCGGATTTCTTGGATCGCCGTTGGACCCCCTGGCGGCGGCTCGGGCGCCGCCCCTGACGCCGCCCCTGGCGCGCCCGCGAGGGTGTCCAGCGCCGGCCCAAGAGATCCACGCGAGGCTTCGGAAGTTAATGTTTATCGTGTTTGCTTGATTCATGGAGGGGGACATCAGTCGAACCCCGATCGACGATCTGACCTTACACTAAAGCAGAAAATTGTCGACAATCGAACCTCGATCGGGGGTCGAGCGGCACCCAGCTGCGACGGCGCCAGCGGCCGCGCGCGCCTCTCGACTGAGGGCCTCGGCGGTGCTGGCACCGAGCTGCCCGGGGACCAGCGAGGGCTGCTGTTGTCGAACCGCAGCCAGTGCATGCTGAACCTGGAGGAGCCTCCCCGTGACTGGGGAAAGAATGCTCGGAGGAGGGAAACGTGCTCATACTGCTGTTCCTTGCCTCTGCTTTGAATTTCTAGGCCTCCTGGGAGGCCCTCGTCGTCACTGCTGAATTCGCTCCAGAATTCTGGTCAGGATGCGCGCAAGGAGATCGGTAACTAGTTGTTCTTCGTCCCCCCGGAAGCCGAAACACGCACCTTCTCTCCTCCCTGAACCTCCATGCCCCCTTCTGCGGGTTGGCCATCAAATATACCCCACCTCCACCTGCCCCAAATAGAGGACGAGGAGGAGGAGGACGAGGAGGAATAGGAGGAGGAGGAGGAGGAGGAGATGGTAGGAGGAGGAGGAGGAGGAGGAGGAGGAGGAGGAGGAGGAGGAGGAGGAGGAGGGGAGGAGGAGGAAGGAGAAGGAGGAGGAGGGGAGGAGGAAAAGGAGGAGGAGGAGGAGGAGGAGGAGGAGGAGGAGCCACACCCCTCACACTTTTCGTTGCCCCATGGGAAGCTCCACCGAAGGCCTCAGTGCCACCGCCCGCATGCGTCCCCCACACCGATTTCGGCACACCCCTCACACGTTTCGTGGCCACATATGGAGCTCCACCGAAGGCCCCAGTGCCAACGCGCACATGCGTCCCCCACACATTTCGGCACACCCTTCACACGCTTCGGGGAAGCGGAGGCGGAGGAGGAGGAGGGGCTGGCCACTCACCCTTTCGGGGGGGGTTGTGCCAATTCCCGCGAGCTGGTGGTCTTGTCGCTTCCCCCCTCGCCCCACCTTCAGCAGCCCCCTTCGATCAAGGACTGGCGGGGTGAAAAGCGAGCCACTGGAAAAGGAGGAGGAGGAGGAGGAAAACCAGTGCAAACCCAAGATCCATGAACGAGACTGCAGAACAAATGCTTCTCTCCAAGTTCCCTCGTCCCAGGCCCCGTGCAAGGATCATTCTCATGGAGGGAGGTGTGACCCGTTCGAAGGCAACCGTTCGAACATCCGGAACTGCTCCAGAAAAGAATTCATGGGATTTCAACGACGCGAGTCACCGTTACTGTTGCGTCTTGACTATCCAGAGTCGCACCGGAACACCATTCTTGGGTCTTCAACGCAGCGAATCAGCGTGACCGTCGCGCCGTGACACTCCGACATCGCGCCTGGGACGTCTGCAGTGAGACTCCTTGGGGCCCTGCTACGAACTCTCAAGACGGATCTGCGCGGCGCTGGAGGGCGCCACGCTTTTCAGGAAGGGAAAAAACACACAGACACAATTCATCGTCGATTCCACAGAAAATATATGGAAAACCTGGGCAGTGGGGGGTAGACAGAAACCCAGAAAACATGGGAAAATATGGGGAATAGTTTTATTTGTGTGTATTTATTTGTGTGTCCCAGGGCCCCTTCAAAGACGACTGTGCGCGGCGCCACGGGGAGAGCCACCTCTCGAGAGCGGGCCGCCCTCCAGCCGCGGAAGTTCTGCAGATGCTTAAGATTAGTTTGCGCGGCGCTCCTCCTCCTCCTCCTCCTCCTTCTCATCCCATCTCCTCCTCCTCCTCCTCCTCCTCTTCCTCCTCCTCCTCATCCCATCTCCTCCTCCCATCTCCTCCTCCTCCTCCCGTCTCCTTCTCCTTCTCCTCCTCCTCCTCCTCCTCCTCCTCCTTCCGTCCTCCTCCTCCTCCCTGCCTCCTCCCACCAGCCTCCATCCCTCTGGCCTGCACCCGCGCGCCGCACCCTCGCGCCTCACGGGCGGCGCTGAGGCGAGAGCCACGTCTTGGAACGCGGACCGCCCTCCATCCGTGAGGCTGTTGCGAGCTGCAAGTTTCTGGAGCATCGGTGGCGGGGAAGTCTCGAGCGAGACGCCTGGCCCGCCCTCTCAACTGGCCTCTGGGCGCGACAGGGAGGAGCTGTTTATGATGAAGAGGGAGGAGGAGGAGGAGGAGGAGGATGAGGAGGAGGATGAGGAGGAGCCTCCCCGCTCATTGGGTAGAGGGGCCTGGATGGGCGGGGGGGGGCTCTTTTGCTACCCGGACCGCGACCTTCGAAAACTCGATCCTCCAAATGTTTGACAGTCGACGTTATTTGGGCGGTCCCCCATTCCTCCTCTTCCCAGGGTCAGGGGTCGAGGATGAACACTTGGGCTTGTTTGTGGGCCTCGTCGCCACGATCTGATTCACTTCGAACTTCTGGTCGAACTGCACGGAATACGCGATCGCATGGACACGTTTCGCGCGGGGCGCCCGTGCATCTGGGGCGCGATCGCATGAATTCGCGATCGCATGGATACGTTCCGCGCGGGGCGTTCTTCCAACGTCTTCTTGCTTCAGGTTTCGACCCAGTGCTGAAAACGACCGCGGTCTGGGGGGGGAGGGGAGGGGTAAGGTTCTGATGTTCCCACCTACGTTAGCCTTGATCACCAGACAAAAGATTCGAGCACTAAGACAGTACCGAAATGGAAGGGTTTTCACGTGTCGGGCCCTGGGAGGCGATACTCGTTCGATGTTGTTTCGATATGTTTCTGGGCGCTCGAAATCATTTTTGGGAAGTGATCCTTCAGTACGGTGGGAATGACATGAGGTGAAGGTCGGAAACCTCCTCGATGTTGGGATCGCTCCTCGTCGGAGGATGGATCGTGCTGTCAGCTTTAGCCTGAGCCTAGGCTACAACGGCGAGGGAGAGGAGTTACGTTGCATCTTCGGGCGGCATTTCCTGCCCTGTCAATGGTTGCCTTTTGTGTTCTGATGTGTGTTCGACATGGATTCGACACGGATTCGACACGCTCGACATGTTTTCATCATGTTTGCGAAACGGTTGGCGCGATGGGATAGACGAGGTCTCCCTCAGATACAACGCAAGAGGAGGAGGAGGAGGAGGAGGAGGAGGAGGAGGAGGAGGAAGAAGAGGAGGAGGAGGAGGAGGAGGAGGAAGTGGAAGAAGAGCAGGAGGAAGAGGGGGAGGAGGAGGAGGAGGATCGGGATGGGGATCGGGCTCGTGGAGTTCGCGTGTCAACTCGACAGAGGCGTGTGAAACCCTGTATCGTGCTGCGCATAGAACTCTGAGTGGCGTGACTTTGTGAGACGTCGACCTTCTGTGGCGACCCCTGCGCTCGGGCAGGGCCGCACTGCCCCATTAGGGGCACCCCCCCCTCGAGGCACGCAGCCGTGGGGGCGCCCCCTGGGGACCGATGAATATCACCTAGCCTCGGGCTTCCCCTCATAAAGGCGAGAAGCCCGTAGCCCCACCACCCCGCTCCCGCAACCCACAGTACGGAGCCACAAGGGCCAGAAGCCGCACTGCTAGGTCGGTGGGAGGGGAGCAGCAGAGTTACGTACCTCAGGGGGGGCCCGAGAGACGTATACACAGGACGGGGACCGTTGTAAACAAACCCCACGAGAAAAACATATCTTCCCTGAGAATGCCCACGGCCTCCTCCTCTCCTTCCACCTCCTCCTCGTCCGCGTCCCCTGGGCGTCGGCCTTAAAAGAACCGTGGGGACGGGCGGAAGAGAGGGGCCGTAGGCCGTAGGGAATGGGAGAGGGGTGGGCGCAGTCCTATCTCGTAGCACATCGGGCGGTACGTGTCCTCGCGCGATCAGCTCACGAAGGCGGGCACTCTCATGGAGCGCTGATGGCGGCCGTACTTCAGAAGGTTGAAACAGCACAGGTGGAGGCCGTACTTCCGAAGGTTGAATGTGCACACCGTCAGCAGTAGTCGCGGTCACTTCTGCAACAGATTCAGCAGCTTTGCCGCATCTCTCTCCAGTGGGCCGCGGGGTGGAGGGCCTATCAGGCGCTCGCCCTTCATGTCCAGGATGGCCGAGCGCAACATCGGAATCAGCCTGCGGCCGAGCACGTGATCTGAGTCGATCGCCACGATGAGACTGCCCTTCTTCTCGATGGCTTGCTGCTCGCCCTTGTCGCGCTTCCACTGCCAGTGGAGTACCATTTCTCCGACGGCGTGGATGGTCGTCTCCTGCACGTACTCTAAATAGAAGGCCTTGAGCTCCTTGCCCCACGGTGTGTCCTGTCTGGCCAACCACATCAGCCCTGATAAGAATATGTGTAGATGCGGGGGGGCGCGACTTTTGAAGTCCACGTTCTCGCCTTTCTTGCGTTTCTCTGCCAGATCTTGAGAAATCTCTTGGTACCGTCGGCCTGAAATCTCCATCTCGTCTGCGAAGCCTCCGTCTGTGAAGAAGAGCGCCCACGTCGTGTATACCGTCGCCGTCAGCTCCGCGATGGCCCTGCTGTCCGCCAGCACCAGGCGTGTGATGAGGATGACCAGCTTCGCGATGACCTCGTTGTCTCCTTTGCCTGCCTGCAGCGCCGCCCGCGCCTCGGTCTTGGTCTTCTTCACCTCTTCTGGTCCCCCAGCAGATGGGGGTGTCTGTAGCCAAGCGGGGGCCTCCACGTCGGCCATACAACCCAAGTATGCCAGTAGCGACGGTACGGTGGCACCGTTTCTCGAGGAATATGGCTACGGAGGTGGACGCAGAGATCGTCCATGTCGGCAGCTCGATAGTCGCAGAGAACACAGTTTAGCAAGAGAACGGGCTGGACGGGGAGGAGCGTGAGTGTACCTCTGTTCGGACATTGACCTTTAAGGATAGCTCGTTGACGATGTTTGTACGCATTCCCCTGGCACCCAAACGTCTGTCGGCACACGATACACGTATTTGTTGGTGTGAGGACCGAACTGAGATTCCGAACCAGGTGGATCGTGCGCATGTGGTTTGGGAGATCCCGACGGGTACTGCATTTGCTACCACATTCTTTTCCTCTCCCATCTCAGTCTCGAGCAGCCAGTCGCGCGTCCAGTCCTTCTGTGCCGCAGCGGGTGGAGGCACAGCGTCAGGCACCGTCTGCGTGTGAGTCGGTGGAACAGCATGCGACAGGGCACGAGCTCGGATCTCTGTGAAGTCTAGCTGGGAGAGCTCTTCAAAAACGTCCTTGTCGGTCAGCCGCCCAGGGTTAGCACTGATGTAGCTACACACTTCCTGCCCCCGTCCAAGTCCTCGGCGGCCCCCTGGAAGTCCCTCTGGAGCCTGTGGAGCCATGGGGAAGCTGCAGTAGAAGGTACATCCCCAGCTAGGTGCCCACCTCTATCTCCAGGAACCCCGAGAAACCCGAAGAGTAGACAGAGCTCCTGGGAGTGCCTCTT